GCCGAAGCCGAAGCCGAAGCGTGCAACCGTCGACAAAAAAGCAATTTTCCGCCGGCGAACGAAAATTTAATCTGTCCTATTCGCCGCTGCTTTGCTTTTAATGGACGGCCAAGGCTTTCTCCGCAGGCGAGTAAAAATTTTCGTTTTTCCCGCTGTTTCACAGAGGGCAGTTTCTGGGCAGAGGTTTCGATATTTTGGATGTTGATAACTTGAATCGGAAGTGGTACATGATTATGAGACGAAGCGTGCACTAATTGTAAGCGTAATCGATTTAAATCCCTTGTAAGTTTTTTTCACAAATAGCTATACGTGAATGACAGTCGTAAATTATCGGAAATGTACGAAATATAAATTTAATTTTAATTTAGTAGAACTAATAAAGTATAAATAAAGAAGCAACGATTGAAAATAGATGGAAGATTAATTTTGCAGAGTCAAGTTAAGTTTGAACAGGAAGATTGAACTACGTATTTTTAGTTACACTCAAATTTCATAAACTGTCTATTTATTTATTAGAAATAAATACGGAACTTAGGGAACTTATAAATGCTCCTTGTTTCGGATTCAATTAGCGAAACATTTTCAGTTGATATATTTGAAAACTATGAAAATAAAATAAAAATGTCAATCTTTTAACGAAATTGTACTAACAATAAATTATAAGTCTAATTATTTACACATGATATAAATAAAAATAGAATCAAGATTTTGTGAATTATACTCGAACCTAATATGTCAAAAAATATTGATAATTATATTTCAATTGTAAATGAAAGATAAGTAATTATTAAATTTACGTGTCACCATTGTGTGACATTTTGATTTCTTCTTTTCTATCAGCAAAACGAAAGGTTATCAGCAAATTCCAGTCATTTGCATTGATTATTGGTAATTAAAATCAAAATTCTAACCTGCCAATCAAAACAAATTCTGATCATGCAAAATATACAATAACTCTTACACTATAACTTCTAAAATTTATCTTGCAACAATTAGGATACTTGTTTTCAACACACCTCGGACTTTCCTTTCGGTAATAAAGCTTATACCACATAATAGTT